TAAACCGACGGGTCAGAGAGGCGTTAGTTTTGGAGTCAAAAGCTATACATTAAATTTTTGGACTTAATGGGGGTCAGTGACCCCTCATATGGGTAAACTCCAGTTCACTAGATCATCTATTCATTTATGTATTGCTCATGGCTGCTTACAAGAGAAGACACAATTGTGACAGAGACCCATGGTCCACAAAGCTGAAAATACTCTGTCCTTTACAGAAAAGGTTTACAACCCTGGTCAATTTGACTGGTTAAACATAATATACGCTTCGAGGCCCGTCAATGCTAAGTGTCCAACTTCAGCCTGTAATAAATAAGTGATCTCGCGGTTTGTGAGAGAGTTTGGGTTCATATATCGGGCTCTGTGCTTGACAGCTCAGAGCCTGGAGCCTGCTTTCTTGGATTTCAGGCCCCTTCTTCCTGCTCTGCTCAAGTGCGCGCTTCTGTCAAAATAAACATAAAAAAAAAAATTATGATCTAAGCAGGCTAACCTATTAGCTAACACATTGCGGATTTTTTAACCCTAATTATCTCTATGCATCAACTTGTTTTTCAAAGTGTGGTCCTCAGACCAGCAGCATCAGCATCAGCATAATGGGAGATTGTTAGAAATGCAGAATCTCAACCACCACCCTAGACCTAGAATCAGAATCTGGGCATTTTAATATCCCTGATATGCTAGGAAGTCCTGATTTATAATAATAGTAGAACCCTGTTGAAATGGTGAAAAAGACCAGACACAGCTAGGAAGAAAGGTTTGACTTTTTACTGTCTGAGTCTGATGAAGGGGCCGGGCCAAAGAGGAGGACTGTGGGAGGGAGCACTCTGACAGAAGCAGCACATAATTGAAAGTATGAAAGTTGGCAAAGACATGGCCTTTTCAAAACTTACTACCTAACTAAATCCAATTTTTATTAAGGATGGTTAAAGCTTCAAATATTTCCGCGGTTGAAGCAAAGAATTCAAAAACCTTTTTAAACGGAAAACACCAAAGATAATTGTAAAATGAGGCAGATACTACAATTTCCCCTAATTTGAGATTCCAATTAAGATGCCTTATGTGAAGAAATATTTTAAATAAAACATAAGATTTTAAGGCTTTTCCTCGACTGCAGGTGCAGTTATGTGACCAGCATCTGAGAGGCCATAGCCCAGTCTCTGCATAGATCCGCCCTCGTTTTGAACAGCATGATCGTTCAGGCATCACAGCTGCACTTTCCCATTACAAAAAACTACATTTCTGGGGTGAAACGGCCACAGGCCAGCTTAGGATCAGAGTTTGTGCTCAGAGCACGGCTCTGGAAACCCAGCAAGAGATAAAGGGCTAATGCAAGAATTGGCACTCTCCAGCCAATTATCATAGCATCACCATGGGCTATAAACCTAAAAGAGCTCTGTGGTACAGGCAGACACTGCATGATTGGGGCCCGAGACAACGAATGCTGACCTGCCCTGCTGCCATATATTGGACCAGAATCTTCGACAAAGAATGGGCTGACTTACTGTAACTTTTATCTGAAACATCAAAGCAGTTTCAGAACAACTTCAAGAGGAAATCCATTCTCATGCTAATTGCAACGCCTATAAAGCTACTGGACGCTTGATTGAGGAGGACGCCAGTCAGGAATCTTTTTCATGGTTAACTCTGCAGCCCCAATGGCCATAATGGTGGGAGAAGACAATTTGATATCTGGACCTGGATACAAAGTTTTTTTCTTCTTGTTCAAGACCACATGCTAATAACCTTCTTGGCACTCCAAAGCAGCAGCAACACTGCAAGGATATACTCTTTATATTCTTCACCGGCCACCAGTGAAACAATTCCATTTCCGGATAAGACGACATCCCATACCAGCTGCTCTGCACACCAAGAGGAGTACTCAAACTAATGCCTGTATGTACGACAACTCGCTTCTCATTTAATTTCTGGATGGGATGTTGGCACAGTTCCAAAACTCTCCTTTTTACTTTCCTATTACACTATGTATATAATTTATTGATGAGGCTTAAAGTTTTAAGAAATTTTGCGCGTTGGACAAATATGGTTGAGATTCAGATGATCATAAACACATTCTACATCATAACACTTGTGAGGTAACCACTGTTGCTTAAATAGTTTATAGGCCTAGGTAAGTGTCATTGTAGCAGAAACGGTTCTTTTCAGGTGCTAGGTGTGAGCTACACGAACACAGAGAAAATAACGCTAACATCATTTTACTATACTTACAAAACGCATCATTTGGAGTTCCTTTTGGATTGTAAGTACCCTCAAGACCTAAGATGAAGAGGTGAATGATGACTAATTCACCAAATAGAATTACACTAGGTAC